ATAAAATGTCACATTATCGTAAGGCATAAAATGTCATATTATCATAAGGCATAAAATGTCAAAGTATAGTAAGGTATAAAATGTCATATTATCGTAAGGCATAAAATGTCATAGTATAGTAATGCATAAAATGTCATATTATCGTAAGGCATAAAATGTCATAGTATAGCAAGGCATAAAATGTCATAGTATAGCAAGGCATAAAATGTCATAGTATAGTAAGGCATAAATGTCATACTATAGTAAGGCATAAAAACGTCATAGTATATTTAGGCAAAAAAAAGGTTGTAGGCATAAAACCAACATATTAAGGAATCAAAAGTCATAGGCATTAAAACTTCCTAGTATAGTAAGACATGAAAAAAGTCATAGGATAGTAAGGTATAAAATGTCACATTATCGTAAGGCATAAAATGTCATATTATCATAAGGCATAAAATGTCAAAGTATAGTAAGGTATAAAATGTCATATTATCGTAAGGCATAAAATGTCATAGTATAGTAAGGCATAAAATGTCATATTATCGTGAGGCATAAAATGTCATAGTATAGCAAGGCATAAAATGTCATAGTATAGCAAGGCATAAAATGTCATAGTATAGTAAGGCAAAAATGTCATACTATAGTAAGGCATAAAAAGTCATAGTATAGTAAGGCATAAAAAGTCAAAAAAAAGTCATAGTATAGTAAGGCATAAAAAGTCATAGTATAGTAAGGCATAAAAAGTCATATTATAGTAAGGCATAAAAAGTCATAGTATAGTAAGGCATAAAATGTCATAGTATAGTAAGGTATAAATTGTCATATTATCGTTAGGCATAAAATGTCATCCTATAGTAAGGCATAAAATGTCATCCTATAGTAAGGCATAAAAATTTCATAGTGTATTTAGGCAAAAAAAAGGTTGTAGGCATAAAACCAACATATTAAGGAATAGAAAGTCATAGGCATTAAAACTTCCTAGTATAGTAAGACATGAAAAAAGTCATAGTATCGTAAGGCATAAAATGTCATATTATCTTAAGGCATAAAATGTCATAGTAAAGTAAAGCATAAAAAGTCATAGTATAGTAAGGCATAAAATGTCATATTATCGTAAGGCATAAAATGTCATAGTATAGTAAGGCATAAAATGTCATAGTATAGTAAGGTATAAAATGTCATATTATCATGAGGCATAAAATGTCATCCTATAGTAAGGCATAAAATGTCATACTATAGTAAGGCATAAAACGTCATAGTATAGTAAGGCATAAAATGTCATAGTATAGTAAGGCATAAAAAGTCATAGTATAGTAAGGCATAAAATGTCATAGTATAGTAAGGCATAAAAAGTCATAGTATAGTAAGGCATAAAATGTCATATTATCGTAAGGCATAAAATGTCATAGTATAGTAAGGCATAAAATGTCATATTATAGTAAGGCATAAAATGTCATAGTATAGTAAGGCATAAAATGTCATAGTATAGTAAGGTATAAAATGTCATATTATCGTTAGGCATAAAATGTCATCCTATAGTAAGGCATAAAATGTCATCCTATAGTAAGGCATAAAAATGTCATAGTGTATTTAGGCAAAAAAAAGGTTGTAGGCATAAAACCAACATATTAAGGAATAGAAAGTCATAGGCATTAAAACTTCCTAGTATAGTAAGACATGAAAAAAGTCATAGTATCGTAAGGCATAAAATGTCATATTATAGTAAGGCATAAAATGTCATAGTATAGTAAGGCATAAAATGTCATAGTATAGTAAGGTATAAAATGTCATATTATCGTAAGGCATAAAATGTCATATTATCTTAAGGCATAAAATGTCATAGTAAAGTAAAGCATAAAAAGTCATAGTATAGTAAGGCATAAAATGTCATATTATCGTAAGGCATAAAATGTCATAGTATAGTAAGGCATAAAATGTCATAGTATAGTAAGGTATAAAATGTCATATTATCATGAGGCATAAAATGTCATCCTATAGTAAGGCATAAAATGTCATACTATAGTAAGGCATAAAAAGTCATAGCATAGTTAGGCATAAAATGTCATAGTATAGTAAGGTATAAAATGTCATAGTAAAGTAAAGCATAAAAAGTCATATTATGGTAAGGCATAAAATGTCATACTATAGTAAGGCATAAAAAGTCATAGCATAGTAAGGCATAAAATGTCATAGTATCGTAAGGCATAAAATGTCATATTATCTTAAGGCATAAAATGTCATAGTAAAGTAAAGCATAAAAAGTCATAGTATAGTAAGGCATAAAATGTCATATTATCGTAAGGCATAAAATGTCATAGTATAGTAAGGCATAAAATGTCATAGTATAGTAAGGTATAAAATGTCATATTATCATGAGGCATAAAATGTCATCCTATAGTAAGGCATAAAATGTCATACTATAGTAAGGCATAAAAAGTCATAGCATAGTAAGGCATAAAATGTCATAGTATAGTAAGGCATAAAATGTCATATTATCGTAAGGCATAAAATGTCATAGTATAGTAAGGCATAAAATGTCATAGTATAGTAAGGTATAAAATGTCATATTATCATGAGGCATAAAATGTCATCCTATAGTAAGGCATAAAATGTCATACTATAGTAAGGCATAAAATGTCATAGTATAGTAAGGCATAAAATGTCATATTATCGTTAGGCATAAAATGTCATCCTATAGTAAGGCATAAAAATGTCATAGTGTATTTAGGCAAAAAAAAGGTTGTAGGCATAAAACCAACATATTAAGGAATAGAAAGTCATAGGCATTAAAACTTCCTAGTATAGTAAGACATGAAAAAAGTCATAGTATCGTAAGGCATAAAATGTCATATTATCTTAAGGCATAAAATGTCATAGTATAGTAAGGCATAAAATGTCATAGTATAGTAAGGTATAAAATGTCATATTATCATGAGGCATAAAATGTCATCCTATAGTAAGGCATAAAATGTCATACTATAGTAAGGCATAAAAAGTCATAGCATAGTTAGGCATAAAATGTCATAGTATAGTAACGTATAAAATGTCATAGTAAAGTAAAGCATAAAAAGTCATATTATGGTAAGGCATAAAATGTCATACTATAGTAAGGTATAAAAAAGTCACAGGCATAAAAAGTCAGAGTATCGATAGATATGAAAAGTCATACTATAATATGGCATAAAAATGTCATAGTATAGTAAGTCATGAAAAAAGTCATGCTATAGTAAGGTAGAAAAAGTGTTAGTATGTTTATGCATAAAAATCTTTGTATAGTAAGGAATAAAAACGTCATAGTATATTTAGGCAAAAAAAAGGTTGTAGGCAGAAAACCAACATATTAAGTCGTAAAGATATAAAAGTCATAGGCATTAAAACTTCATAGAATAGTAAGTGATGAAAAATGTCATACTATAGTGAGGCATAAAAAAAATCAGTCATAAAATGTCACAATATAGTAAGGCATAAAATGCCATAGTAAAGCATAAAAAGTCATATTACCATAAGGCATGAAAATGCATAGTATAGTAAGGAATAAAATGTCATAGTATAGGAAGTCATGAAAGAAGCCATAGTAAGGTATAAAAAGTCTTAATATAGGAAGGCATAAAAATGTAACACTATAGTAAGTCATAGTAAAGTTTTAGTTAGTTTAGTCAAATGCCCCAAATTTCTGATCAAAATTCAGTTTATCAGTATGATAAACTGTCATGTTATATGTACTCAGATAATAAAATGTCAGGTTATATATATATATTTCTTATTTATCTTTAAGCTATATAACTTTCATTGTCAATTCAGAAATAAAAGACAAGGACAGAAAACATTTGCTTATATTGGAGATTTTTTAATAACACATTTCAATATTGCAACAGCCATCAGATTTTCTTCTAACAGGTAAAAATCATCAAAAACTAACAAAAAAAAACAAAACTTTTTTTTTCAGTTTTATATTCCAAACACCACTGTTTCTCAGCTATGGCCCTAAATTCAAACAGATGAAACCCTTACACAGTGAGCAGATATTATATTCAACACATTGTTCTTCAAACAAATTATAAAAATAGATTTAGCATTTTCAAATACATATTTACAGTATTAAACATATCATAATGATCACAGTAACAGAGAGGTGGGGGTAGAGGGGGGAACAATTTGAATTTCATTCATCGTGGTGGCGAGGTCCAGTTTGTTGTTTGTTTGTGACTGCGTGTGTGTCTCTGTCTTTGTGTGTGTGTGTTAAGGACCATCAGAGTGTTTTCTCAGATATGTTAACATGTGTGTGATAACATCTATAAGGACATATGACTTTATTTAATTTGACAAAACAGTTACAGAGAGAGAAGGAGAGTACAAGCAGAAAGAACAAAAGAAAAAAAAAACTCGTACCAAATACAAACCTGTTACAATATTCTGGTCAAAAATGTATGTACCCTCTATTGTGAAGCTGTATGAGAATGAAATAATGCCCAGATAAACTTCCTTCCTTCAAATCTCCTGTGTTAAAATAGGACAGAAAAGGCGATGGGGCAGATCACTGTACAGAGAGGATTCTGGGAGTTTAACTCGAAAAGAGTGCAACCACGTAGTATGGCAGAGCGTGATATTAACAGCAACATAAAATGAAACATGAGAATCCCACAGCAACAAAGAAAAACAAACAGTTTTTAAATTTTTTTATGACATTCTGTTATACTGTACCCATACTGCAACACACACACTGTAATGTATACAGCAAATCCAATGATAATGGACCTAAAATGAACTGTAGCAAACCCAGTGTTCAAGAATACACAGATACTGTGTGCTGACAGTAAAAATCCTCCAGTGTTCCTCTCACTTCCTGTCAAAACAACTATAATCTGTTCAGGTATAAACTCACAGTCATAGAACAAAATCAACAAATCAAACAGAAACAAAACAAGAAGACAACTGCTTTGCTCAACACTTTTTTTTTTTTTTTTTTTTTTTTTAAATACTATAAGTTAAATAAACCCTCCTAACCCCCTTTACTGGAGAGGTTTTTGTTACAGTCTGTAAACATAAATAAATATGGATAAATAAGTGAATCAGGCCATCTTCCAGAGTTGGCCTGAGTCCTATACAGAGTATTAAACATGGTAGTGAGAGAGCCTTTGGAGAGGAGGATTATGTTACCGAGATGACACCCAGCAGGCTAGTGGAGGGGAACTAGATGCTTTTAAATGCACAAAGAAAAAAAGTGGAGAGCACGGAGGAGTCGAGAAAGATAGAGGGAGTAAAGAAAGTAGCAAAACAGACAGCGACGTATGACAAATGAGTCAACAATCAAACACGTGTTCAACCCTTTGTATCCTGCTGCGTTTGTTTCACCATCAGTAGCCTCAAAGAAAAACAAAAAAGGGCTGATGTTTCTGAAAGTACAGTCCATCATCACCCACAACTTACCGTCGCTCACACTTTATATACTGTATATAGGGCTATACAGTACGCTAGACCTTTTCATTCATCCAGCTCTTCTATGCTTACTGTTTAACATGTGACAGCACAGTCTTCTCAAGCTCCTGCTCTGAAACTTTAGGTTACATTCCAGCCATGTTTAACCTTCAGAAATATTCCTTTAACCACCTGACATGAGATCAGCTCTGATGTACAATGATATGATTCTGTGTCCTCGTAGTAAATAAGTTCCAGTTTGATGTGAAATCAGCTGTGCCAGTTCTGAGGAGAGAGTTATTTGATCCAAGGCCAAGTAAAATAGTTCCTGCCTCTTACAGTACATTGTTTTTAGTGAATTGATGTTGTGGTAAAGGGAAATTCCACCCAAAACATAAATGTTTCTTTGAGCACTAGTCCATAACTGTGTGTGTGTTTGCCGCGCAGTATATCTCCCGCAGCCTCAGACAGAGCCCGTCCTGCTGGAGACAATATTTCATTTGACTTAACACACTGATCCAGAACCAGTGAGATGGAGCTGACACAGTTACTGAAGGTCAAAGTGCAGATAGAGGACACACACAAAAATAGTCAAATGACATCACTCCTCTGCTGTCCCCCCCAATCACAACAGGAACATTTGCTCCTCTCTGAGCGGAATTCATAGAAAAAAGGAAGGAAGGGATCAAGGAAGGCATGAGGAACTGTGGAAAGGAGGAGTAAATAGAGGAGTGCGGTTTGCTGAAAGATCTGCTCATCTTTCCTTAAGTCTGGAAGAGCTCTCTCTCTCTCTCACTCTCTCTCTGCCCCTCCTCTTCTCCACCCAATCATCTGTCTGCAGCAGCGTGAGACTCGGCGTGTGCGTCGACTGTCTGTTAGACCTGCACACCGCGGCCATGCATTTGGATGACCTGGGCTCTGAGGGTCTGGATGGCAGCCAGTATCAGCTTCTGGTGCTCTAGGGAAGTGATGCCAAGGCTCAGTACGTCTCTGTGGGCACAGAGATCAAGATTTACCAAGATTAGTAGGAGGGATGTGAAATTTATTGGACTCTATATCACTGGCTCGAGTCAGTGACTTCTAATTATTTTATGCTCAGATTTACAGGTTCATTAATTAACAGTTTATCACTCAGAAACTTAGCTCATCTGCTCCATCACTGTGTAGTATTACCTTGATAAAATTTGATTGAAAGTGGATTGGTAGCATTATCAGACAAGCCAACAACTGTTATTACACTTTTACATCTGAGTCCCGCCCACTGAAACTGATTGGAAAAATAGATTTACAGGCCCTTTAAAGGTTTGTTTGGCAATTTCTTTAAGCAGTGTTCCACGGTCCTCTCTGGTTAAAGAGTTTCAGGTCTGTCACACCTCTGACCACACTGGTTGCCGGTGGGTGTGGCCAGAAGTGTGCTCTGTTTGCACCCACTCAACCACAGTGATGTCACTGTGTACCGACACACCCGAGTACACTTCGACATCACTGCAGCAAAGGTGGAGGAGTACCACAGGAGCTTGGATTTTCATACATGTCAAGTAAATCTTAATTTTTACCCAGAAATCTTGCACATGTAAGAAACCAGACATTCAGAAAAAAAGCATTTTCACATGTTAAAAAAAATAAAAAATGTCTGAACTGAAACAAGTAGCTTCTAAAACAACTCATACATGTTCTTAAAAATATAGTTTACCTTATTTTAGGGCTGCAACAAATCATTTTCATTATCAATTAATCTACTAAAGTTTTATTTCCTCAATAAATCATTTGTAAAAAAAAAAGAAAAAAAAAAAGCTCAGTTTAATTTCCAAAGTTGATGTTGTAAAATTGCTTGTTTTTTTCCCCAGTTACTCTAAAAGCAAAAAATAGTTTATCATGTAAGAAAAAAGTAGCAATGGAGAAGGTGTGGTGAGAGACTATTTGGAGTTTTTGCTCTAAAAAAAACAACTATGAATTATTGCTAATCAAAAGAGTTGGCAGTTATTTTTTGTGGATCGACTAATTGGACATTTCTAGATGCGCAAAGATTAGCTCTAATAATCAGCGGTTAAAAAAAAAAGCCAATATCAAGAAAAAGAGTGGAGATTATCCACTAAGTGATTTATTTATTCATGCAGTTAGTGTCTCACTTCAGTTACCTAGTCTCATTCGCTCACTTGGCTGCCCTCTTGAAAACGGGAAATGAAAGGTCACGGAGATAATGTTGTATAAAACTACTCACTGTACAGTCATTCGTGCCACAGACTCCAAGTAGCAGTACCCTGCAGCAGTGAAGTTGTCCTTGTATCGGCCCATGTCCACTGCGTCCAGCCACTCTCCTACTGAGTTAAAGGATGGGAAGGAGGGGAGAGGCCTTTCTGCTAGTGTAATGGATGAACTCAGGGTCCTAAAGGAGGAGAAGAAATAGGGGTGATTGTACAGAGTTTGGAAATTTATAGAAGTGAATGTTTACAGTCATCCATTCACTGGGCCTGTAGACCATACCTGCGTGCCAGTGTGGAGGAACCGATACCATCAGGGGAGCGAATGCTCTTGCTGAGGGCTGAGTGGATCTGGCTGAAGCTGGGCCTCTCTGTCCTCTCCTTCTGCCAACAGTCCAGCATCAACTGATGGAGATGTGGAGGGCAGTTAACCGGCGCCGGCAGCCTGAAGCCGTCCTCAATGGCCTTTATCACCTACATGCACAAACAGGAAATCAATATCAGTTTAGACATTTTAGAATGAGTATTGTGATTTTCCAGTGCTTATACTATAACTGGATGAATTCCCCATGTGTATGTTTGTGACTGGAAGGGCAGGGTGGGGGGGGGTGAAGAAATATGAAGCAAAGTTGTGTCCTACTTTTAAAAGTTGAGTAAGGTACTTAAAACCTTTTTTTTTCCTTTAGTTGCTTAGTTTCCAAGAATAGAATCATGTGGACAGTACAGGTCCTACTTGGATAGATAAGAGTAAGAAAGTGCTGGGCTTTCATTTTCTCCTGTCACTAATTACACCACCTACAACGTCCCAGTGCATCGTTCTGCTTTTTGTAATTTAACTTATTTTAAGGCAGCACCTGATGAGATGTTGCTAACTTCAACAATATGAACTGAATACAAATCTGTAGCAACATCTTGACTAAATTTACAAAAATTAAAACGCACAGCAAATAGCCAACTATTATCAGAGAGAGAAGAAAGAGCAATGTAAGTGACTTTGTCTGTGGGTTGAAAGGTCACTTCACAGGATATGTGATTGGGTATCACAGTAGTTGAATCCTGACAGAAAAAAACTGTGTTATAACTATTTACTTTTCTATAATACAATACATTGTGAATTAAAAACAAGAGTCCTGACAGGTCTGAATTTGAAGAGAAATTAGCGAAGTGAAATCAGCGAATTAGCAAAGTAAAAAGCCAGTATTTTCTGATATGCTCCTGATACCCGGCCCTCTAGAGAGATAAGTCACTAAATACTTCGGAAACGATTAATCTACTCCTGTGAAACCTCATGGTCTTCAAATATCAGAGCTTGAAAGCCCCGCCCCCCCTCCCAGACTTCATCTGTGTCCCTCCATCAAACTAATGTTGTTCCCCCTCCTAACAAGAGATTTCCTCTCAATATATCCGGGGACATGCAATACGCCCTCCTCCTGAATCACTCTAAGTCATACAATCTCCTGAAAGGAGGAAATAAAGTTGAAGCCTAATCACAAAAAAAACGACGTCCATCAGCGGCATTATTTCCTAAAACACACTCCCTTCTCTCTGCTTGCCCACTCACCCAGTGCCCCACTCCACCATCCTCTCAGCCCCTTAAGCTCCTATCTCACTAAAGAGCATTCATAAAATGCTTTTCAGCATTTGACATTTTCCATTTAATCAAAGCTGGTAGGTAAAGGGCACTATGGATCACAGGTGGACAGGCCGAGCAACAATTCCGTTATGATATAATGTATCAATTTAAAGTGGATTAATATCCCCAGCGCTCTACAAGCTTGACCTTTGCCCCTTCAATTGGAAAGTTTGATAACATGAACAAGGCTGAGGGGAAACTTTCTTCAGCTTTGTGAAAGGGCACTGGAGGAAAAAAAAAAAAAGGACTTTGAAAAGCTTGCTATTCTCGTGCCTCCTGAATAACTCATGCATATTAATTTTAGGACATTCAAAAATGGAGCATGCTAATAATCTGTTGCTTTTTAACTATGCGCCTGCCTGCATAAAGTGTACACATTATTTTCTGATGATATTCATTGGAAAGGGCATCAGCATGCTGAAGCTCTTGGACTTGATGAGTGATAGTTAACCTTAAAATGATCACTAGCTTTGCTAATATTTCATTCCCGGTGTGTTTTTGGCTTCAATAAAAAGAGAAAATAGTCAATCTGCTCTCATCTCTTTTTTGCATCATGCTTAGATCTGCACTTTAGAGGCATGACATCCTTCAAAAAGCTAAATAAAAACGTTTTTTTTTTTTTTTGTAGGACAAAGAGGTAGGAGTGGCAACAGGAAAAACAGAGAACCCACCCACACTGACTTGGAAATAGTAGGTTGCAAGTGACAAGCTGCAGGGTCCAATCGACTGAACAATCTCTTCAACCCTCAAATAGCAAGCGCTTTACATTTCCTGAAAGAGGCTGAAATTTTCCAGAGGGATTTTCAACACTTTTAAGAGCAGGACGGCAGGATGGGGACAGGCGGAGGCCACTGGAAGGGGGTCAATGCGTCCTTACGAGAAAACAGGATTGGTCATGGAGCTGATGCAGACTTAAAGAGGGGGGACTTAGGCCCTGCAAAAGCTTTCAGAGGTACTGTGGCTTCTTGGCTTTCTTTTAATAAGATCCAAGCTGGGCATGGATACAGAGTTCATTGATAAAGAGAATCAGAGGGAGGTGAAAGAGAGAGAGGGAGGCTGGTAAAGTGCAGATATTAATATAAAAAAATGGAGGGAGGAATATGAAGAATAAAGGCAATAACTGGAGGGATTAATCTCTCTCTCTCTCTCCACTTACATCCTGGTTGCCCATATCCCAGTAGGGTCTCTCTCCATAGGACATGACCTCCCACATGACGATGCCAAAGCTCCAGACATCTGAGGCAGAGGAGAAGCGGTGGTACTGGATGGCCTCTGGAGCGGTCCACAGCACCACGCTCTTCCCTCCGTGCTGGCGGACAGAGGAGGTAGAGGTAAAATGCAGAGTTAAATAAAAGGGTGTGGAGAGTTCACAAAACATAAAGCTTTAATATTCTCTTTGAAAAGCTTTGAACGTATTTTCAATAGATCAAAAGAATCTTTAGACGAGTGAGTTCACCTTGAGTGGAACCCAAAAATATCCAGGGAAATAAGGCACTGAATTTTTTTTTTTTTTTTTATGAAAGCTTAATTATATGACTTCAACCTGAACCTGACATGACACGTGTTCGCTCTCATTTGGTCCAAGGCTCATTAAAAATATCAGCCATACATATGTGAACTTCATACCAACAAGCTTTCTACCACTTTTAGGTTCATTAAATAGGAAATTAGAGAGTAAAATATCCAGTGAAGTTAACATCCTAGCTGAAGCACACGCTCAGGTCTTCATTATGATGTTCTCTTACCAGTGTGGTGTAGATAGCCTCTATCTTGTCCTCCTGAAGAGGTCTGAAGCCGGACACCTTGCAGCCCAGGTTGGAGTTCACCAGCACCTGAGATTGAGAAAACAAACCGGTTACGTTTGGAGGGGAGGGGGGGCATCTCCGCATGAGAGCTCAGCACAATTGATTGTTTACAGCAGCAAATGGTCTTGTTCTTCGTTCTCCATGACGTGACTACTGGATTTGACAGACAGGGCTCTTTAAAAAAAAAAAAAAAAAAAAAAAAACCCACCCAGCGAAACCTGGAGGTGACAAACCGATTTCGACAGTATGGTCTCATCATTTTTCAGCTTCACACGCTCCTCAAATAAAAACCTTCAGCTGAGTGATTGAAGATGTTTGCAGACAAGGACAAATTGTATTCTGTAGCCCGCCTGTGAAAACATATACCAACCCTCCCTACACCTTCTCCCCTATCACCTCCTCCCACCTGCTACCTCACCTTGTGTGCAGCCAGCCGTTTGTGGACGAAGCCCATTTCAGTGAGGTACTTCATCCCTGATGCCACTCCAGTCAGTATATCCATCAGCTGCATTACACTCAGCTGGCCCTCGTGTTTCTGGGAGTTATCAGAGGCACGAGGAGAGAAAGGACAATCAGAGGAAGGGGGGAGACAAAGAAGGAGGGGGTGAGGAAAAGAAAGAAGAGGAGAGGATGAAGGAAAGGGGGAGAAAGTGAGGTGAGTTTACAGAATATAGAGATACGAAAAGAAAAAAAAAATAGCTAACACATCTGTTACTACTACAGTACAATGTTGTGCTCACTGAGCTGAATCCCTTTACTTGGAGAATAAACACAAACAGGCCATTAATTCATATCATTTTATACCACGCCGCAGTAGCAGAGGGGGCACAATAACAGTTTACACAAGCTTACAGCATCTTTGAGCTGAAACACTCCATTTGTGCTGTTAATTATGTTACATTTTCCTTATTACTGTAATAAGCACAAGTATTGCTGCCCTAGGACTGTACCGTAATAGTCGTGAATTCAGGATTATTAGAACAAAATGCCTTGTATGTGAAAGCGGAAGATAATAATAATGGGGCTTTATTTTCTGATTAGACAATGAGCAAACACGTCTGCATATAATTTTAAGATAAATACACAAACATATAAAAAAAAACCTACCCTAAGGAAGGAATCTAAGGCTCCGTTAGACATGCTCTCCACCACGATCATCATGGTGTTACCTGGTGAAAGAGAGCAAGACAGTAGAGTATGTGAACGAGTGAAACTGGGGGAAAATGTGGGAATCGGGGAAAAAAATAAAGTGAGAGTGTAATAGAGACAGAGACACAGACGGAGGGGGGAGCAGGAGGGAGAGAACACAGTGAGTCTAGTCCACTTGGCAGCAGGGCAGACATTGTGCAAAGCCATTCTTCACTCAGTGAACTGTGGTGAAGCCAGGAGAACCTGTGTGCTACCCTGGCTGTCTCAGCAAGTTTAACGACCCACACACACACACACACACACACACACACACACACACACACACACACACACACACACACACACACACACACACACACACAATCTGTGCACAACAACACACATGAACCAGCAGAGCCCAGGCATGCACAGTCATATACACTCCACATATGCACAACATGCACAGGCGTGCGTGTGTGCGTACACGTGTACACAGACACACACACACACGCACACGCACACCCTATGTGCCCAGGCACAGATGGCAGGGATCCAGCAGTGCTATGTAGTGCACAGAGGAGGATAATAAGACTGCAGCAGTTAGAGGAAAGAGGAAACAAGGAGAAAGGAGGAGTGGAATATGGGAGGTTGATACAGGTAAAGCTTGATAGACATGTAAACAACTTAGTGTCTAAAAATAAATCTCATGCAGGCATGTTACAAAAAAAAATTATAATTGTGTTGTAATATTCACAGTCCATGGTCTGCCAGTCGCGCTGGGCTTTCAGAAAGCTATTTGAAACGGTAACCAACAACACTGAAGCACCGTGAGTCAGCACAGAGACACTGCCAAAATCCATCAGCCATCATGTAATTAATGTGAGCTGCAGGGTGAATCACTGGTTTAACTCTGTGACTTGCACAGGGCCGGCATGACAGATAACAAACAGGGCCCCAGTTAAAGGAGCTCTAACATATGTGTCACATGATCATCTGCTAAAAATTTTATTCTATTCTAGAAGAAATAAGTTTAGAAATCCTGACAGAAATGTAGAAGAAGGGAGGGAAAACTGAGTGTTTAAGTGCTGCCTCACACAAACACAGATTTATACACTCACACACACACACTTGTAAATCATCGTGTGAATACATATTGAAAAGCAAATCCTTGAACTTTGCTCTGCTGTTTCAAACTGTGGCAAAACAGTCTCTTTTATAGACTCAATCAGGTCTCTACAAGAACTAATAAAAACTGAAACATTTCCTTGTTCAGAGGAAAAATGATCACATACACTTGTAGAAAAAACAAACTGGGGACAAACATTATTGCAGCCAATCATACGAAGTCCAACAGACAGATGGCTTCTCTAAACAAAAGGTGTTAGTCATTTCAATGTAGTAGTAAATCCACGAAAGAGAGAGGTGATCACCGTAGTTGTGTTATGTTGGGGAGGTTACAGTAGCCTTGGCTGTATATTTGACATTCCAGCATCTCAGCTCTCAGATCAGTGCAGGTCTGTGCTGACTCCGACTGATTCTTGATACATTATTTTCAATAATCTGATCTGTTCTTAGGTTATTTCCTTCTGACTGAGCTGACAGCCGTGCTGCAGGGACATATCTCTGTTTCTCATGAATATCAGAGTGCAGCTTATGCTAGTCCAACTTTGTGTTGCAGTCTTCCAGCTGTAACACCTCCACTCCTTCAGTGCCTCGACAGATATATAAGGGCACTTTGCCTCTGACATGAAACTCTCTGAAGCAACCGTAAGCTATGAAGACTGTACAATGAGACCACCACTTTCTGTCGCATTAATGACAATATTTTGAATTTTTGACTGTTTTTAATGTCCTTACAATGTGATAATAATATATGTTTAAATAAACTGCACTTGTATAGCACTTGTCTAGTCTTATTGACCACTCAAAACGCCTTAAAATTTAAGACACATTCACCCGTTCTCACACATAAATATGCTTTTTCCTATATATTTAGAACTTTTTCTACCATACACACACATCCACACACTGATGATACATCAGGGGCAATTTGAGGTTCAGTATCTTGCCCAAAATGCCCACAATTGCCCAAAATGCAGACTGGAGAAGTCAGGAATTGAACCACCCTAGTACCACAATGTACCACCCTAGTAACAAAATATTTACATTGTAAATAAATACAATTTCGTCCATTGATATTTACTATATTTACTGATCTGATCAAATGTAGCTCCTGCACTTATCTTTATCACTGTGCACTTAAACAGCAGCCACAGCAGAAAACTTCATTTAGCAGCCTCGCCTCTTTTCTCTGTGCTTCTACCCTGAGGTGAAAATACTTCCTGAAATCATATTCCTGGCAGGTAACAAATCACCGTATTGCATTTCCTATAATCCTATTTCCTGTCATCCAGGTACTGCCAGTAAGAAGGTGGAGCATGTGGTTGGTCATGACTGATAGAAAGGAAAGGAGGAAGCTTTGCTACCTTAATGGGACACACCCATGTTTCCATGTGGCTTTGAATTACAGTTAAAAGATGGGGAGATTAGGAAGAGGAGGTGGATGCTGTTTGCAGGTGGGCTAGGTGTGGTGGAGGGATGGCAGGGAGCTGAGTGAGGAGGCGGCAGGGGGGGGGTTAAGTGATGTAAAGCATCTGATTTGTAGTGTAACAGTATGTGTGTGTGTGTGTGTGTGTGCACTGTTTGTGTGTGTGTGCACTGTTTGTGTGCACGGATGTGTGATTTCATGCCAAGTGAGGAGGCAAGCAAGCAGGTGTGTGTGTCAATGATAGTGAAAGAGAAGTGAGCATATGGGACCGCTTTCGTGTGTGTGACAGGGAGCATCCATGTGTGTGTGTGTGTGTGTGTGTGTGTGTGTGTGTGTGTGTGTGTGTGTGTGTGTGTGTGTGTACATGATGGTGGGAGAGATTGGAGTGGATCTCAGGGCCCCGCTGGGTCTCTAGCACCAATTACTGTACCCTGCACATCTGCTGCCATCCTACTGAGCACAGAGTGTGTTCGGGCACTGTGCCCTCACACACACACACACACACACACACACACACACACACACACACACACACACACACACACACACACACACCACACTGAGCATCACTGCGGCAGTAACAAAAACTTCACAAACTCTTTAAAGCTTCTCCCTTCACCTGCCATTCCCATTAACCTCTACCTCATCTTTTCTGTCTCTCATGTCTCTTTTCTAAGTCTCCTCCCTTCAAGTTTTTTTCTCTCTCTCTCCCTCTCTCCCTCTCTCCCTCCTTCCATCCTGTTTTCGCTCTAGGACCTCAATTGCTATCTGTCAGCGGAAAATGGGCCTTGATGTAGCTTGGCTGCTGCTAGCGTGCAGCATCTGCCCCGCCACCCTGCTCTCTACTCTTCAACCTTTTCTTCCTTCAGTCCTGGCTTCTTCACTGTGAGCACTGACCCCCTCCACGTGTGTGATATTAAAGTGGTCGGAGTGTCCCAGTGGTCTTTACAATCCTCCCTTCTCCTGTCCATCACCTTTCCTCTAACTCCAGTTTTCCTCCCATCTCTGTCCATGCTTTCACGAGACGTGATGACCCGCTTGTGCAGCTGTGATACTGAAATCTTTTTTTTTTTCTATCTTTCCCATGGCCTCACTTCCTTTGGTAGTGGAGATGATGAACCCCCTCCCCCCTTTATAAGACTGGAGGTGATCAAACTGTCACATTTCTCTTTTGAACCTTGGCTACCCAGAATTTTTCCCCCTGTGTGCTTCCTTTCATCTTCACCTGCTCTCCTTTTGTTTTCCCAATCTTTTCCCAGGGGTATCGCCTTCCTTCCAAACTGTCACCCCCTGCTTTCTGCTTGGTCTCCCTCCCTCCATCCCTTCTCACCGGTGGTGATGACGCCCTCCAGTCGGATGATATTGGAGTGGTCAAACTGTCCCAGGATGCCAGCTTCACTGAGGAAGGAGCGACGCTGTTTGTCGGAGCAGCCGGCCCTTAACGTCTTTATGGCCACTGGCAGCTCTCTCTTACTGGGCAGCTTCAGGCAGCCACGACACACCTCGCCAAAGTCGCCTGTAGGGGGAGATAAAGAAACTGAGGTCAAGGTCCCTATTGATTGAGGAAGAACCAGAGAGAACATAGAAAAGAGGTCAGGCTGCTGATATGGAGTAATATCTGCACAAGGATCAAAAGAAAGTGAGAAGAAATGAATAGAGGGTTAGACCGAGGAGGGGAATGTGGAGAGAGACAGAGAACGGTTGGAGCAGAATCAGATGGTGAAATACAAACATACTGGGGAGGGAAAGAGATGACGCAAATGAACAGACACCGTTGAGAGAGAGAGAGAGAGAGAGACATGAAATACAAAGGGATCAAAGAGAGATCAAAGATGGGGTAGGGTGCAGGTGAAACAGTGAAACATCAAGCAGAGACAGGGCAAATGTAACAGCCAGCTCGATTTTGGCAAAGATTAGTAAGTTGCCAGACCGAATGAACTGCTGTTGCAGTTTGTCTCAAGGCAGGTTGAGGGATGTTGCAAAAATATCTTGAGTTGCCCTCAGAGTGCTGCAACTGTGGACAGTTCCTGCTCTGTCTGCTGCCTTGGCTCATACTGATAATGGGAATGGTAGCAATGCTTAGAATTCTTTTACCTTTATTGCAATTTTGGTAAAAAAAATTTTTCACAGTTTCTACTGTGCCATAAACTCCTTACCAATTATATTAGGGGCACATAAAGAGCAATTTACATGCTGTGAAGGAAACTTTCAAAAGTCTGAAAAATAACCCTGATGATGTCGTTTGTGTTATCTCGAACTGAACAGAAAGCTTGTGTTATTAACTTGTGATGTAGAGTTTGAAACATGTGGGCATTTACCAAGCAGGGAGGTTCTAACAAAACCTCCCTGCTTGGAAATGTAGGATGGAAATGTAGGATCCAGTTTTTCAGAAACTTGACCCATTTTGCATGTTGCACTTTTGTGGCCAGGAAAGTATGCAACCCCAAATACTGGAAAACTGCGGCTTTAAAGAGTTTGCGAAGTGCAGCAGTCTTGCTTTGTATAATCCTGTACCTGTGTGCACAATTCTCTCTATCTTGATGCTGGAGTTGTCCAGTTCCTTGGCAAAGGCGTGTACGGCCTGCAGCAGGTCCTCACAGGTCTCTGGGTCAATGTAGGTCCTCCGTGTTGGGATCTTAACTGGAGTGGTACAGACACACAGAAACACACAATATAAGACAACCTTCACAAAACAGAGACTTGCCATGTGATTTATGGTCCACGTGCCTGTCACTATAAAGAAACATGATAAAAGACTGGGTTTCCCAGCAGCAAAATATCCACAATACCAAAAATAAATAGATAAAAGAACCACTCTCAGATTCAGATATCATTAAACCCTACGGGCAAATAAATACAGCTAACAACTGTTTTGTTAGCATATAGATATGTCCGTGGCCCCAGTGGTACCCTCTCTCAGCACAAAGCTACGCATTCGCTTCGCTTTGTGCTCCACTGGGGCTGCAGTCAGTGGAGAAATTGGTAACTCTGCCTGCTTCAACAAAGAATTTCTCTCTCTCTGTGATTGTTCAACATTAGACCAAAATGTTGTGTCTAGGAAGAAGCCTTTGCTCTCTGATCTGGAGACTGAAATCAATACCCAAGTTTTTACCATTGATGTCGGAGATAGCTGAAACATTTTCTGCCATCAAACTCCACTATAAATATCTGAGTTTGAAATCTTTATCTGTGTTTATAATAACCAAACATAGCCCTTAAATACTTTGCAAAATGCTGATTTTGATTCTAACTGTTTAGGATGAGTTTTTGTTGGGTTTTTTTTCCTTCAAAAGAGACACAAAATGCTTCTGTTTATGTATTCATAACTTGTCTAATTCTCCGTTTTTGTTTGTTTTGACCTTGCGAACTCCAAAGGCAGAGAGAGAGACAAACCGAGATCAAAGGCTCCGACTTCTCAAATCCGACTTCGGGTTCCCTCCACAAGGCTTTAGTCAGATCACAAGGCTCTTGCACCAGGCTTTTTGTCTTGCCTCAAAATGTTATCTCACTAACACACACACACACACACACACATATGCAAAATAACATACACGCACAAACACAATATAGTCTTCAGTCAGAAACTGGGACAGGACATAATAGACAGTAAAATGCTGAGGCAGAGGAACCTTTAAGTGCCCCGGCACTTGTAGTTGGCTTGCTGCTTTGATGTTAGTGTTAGAGTTTGCGTACCAGCCTCGCAAAAAAAATGACAGCTTTGGAACATCAGCAAGAAAAAATATCTAAAAATAATATAATTATATGTCCTCAAAACACAATATGACATTTGATAAATAACCTACTAAGTATAAAAGTGATATATTGTGAGCTACACAACTTGTTATCAAACAACAGCTGGGTGTAATATCAGTGAAAATGTTCTAAATTCAAAATAAATAATAATAAAATAATTTTGCTCTGTTCAATCCATAAATGAAAAACGGCAGTGATTACCTTCCCTCATTTCAGGACCTCTACAAAATCACTACTGTGACATTAATGAGACGCAACAATTGGGAATTGACGCTGACATTTAGAACTGCAAGTGGTACTGACCCCAACTGTTTGACTGTACACAGCACAAACAACAACAAAAACACTCTCAGCGCGCCACTTGTTTTTTTGTTTTTTTTTATCAACTGCCTATTGTATTTACTGAACACTAACAACTAGCAAATAAACTAGCCAGCAGATAGCCAATAACTATTAAGCAATCAGGTTTAGTTTTCAATTAGATGACCTTTGACCCTTGGTATGACATGTTATGGCTGATCTTCCTGGAAAATGCCTGGTGGTTTTCCCAAAAGCTGGGCCGAGGCTCTGAAATGTGATTACAGCTCCGGATCGACCTGAAGGATCCTATACTGGCTGCCTCATAACGGCTTATTGATCCAACACACACACACATGCACGCACACACACACACACACACACACACACACACACACACACACACACACACACACACACATACATAAATAAAGCCAAAAGTCCAATTATGAAGCAAATGAAACCTTTTCTATTCAAGGCCAGGACTGAGTGGAGGATCGAAGTCTTTTCTGTCAAATAGGGTTTCTCAAACTCACTGTTGTAGCTTAAAACCAGCTGTACAGTATACACACACACACACACACACACACACACACACACACACACACACACACACACACACACACACACACACACACACACACAAGAGGGGGATGCTCACATGCCACGTTAAATGAACAATATAGGCTGAAAACGGCTATGAACGCATGACACACACGCATGTGCGCCTCACTAGCTCTGTGGGTGATTAGTTTCAGGGTTAACTGTGTCACGGCCATGAGCGATTGAGGGGAAACTGAAGCATGTTCTCACTTGGCTGCATAATCTTCAGTGGACCACAGAGTGAGCACACTCAGCCCCAGATATGTTCATCCTAGACAAAAGGCCATAAACTCTGCATCATGCCTTACTTACCGTATTCCTCCCTTCATTTCCCTGGACACCTTCTCTCTTTGTCTCTCTCTTACATGCAATCAGACTCTGGCTGCTATCTAAAACTGGGCAATTAATGGAGATTGTAGATGAGTCTTGATCCTTTCCTCCTACCCCCCCTTTGCATGTTTCTAGGTCACATACTCCAACATAAAACTAATGTCCTGAGCAGTGTCACTTATGATGAGTCTTTCTGTCTCTGCCGACTCACCTCTTCACACTCTTCTCATACTACGCCCTTCACACAACTCATTTCCCCTCCATTTCCCTCTACTTTATTACTCACACACTCATTTATTCACTTTCTCTCTCTTCCCTTGTCCTCCTGCGTTAACACAGGGCAGGGGAATGTGTCTTAAGAGTTTGGAGGATGAACAGATGGGAGGAGAGAGAGAGAGAAAAAAAAAGGGATTACATGAAACACACTTCTTGTTCTCGGACAAGGCAGACCTGCAGCACAATGAGAGCGTATTGTACTGGGTCTGCAGTGACGGAACAGGAAGTGGACTCAAGAGCGTGTGTTGATAAAGAGAACAAAAAAAACGTCTTTGTGCCTGTCTATGCGAGTGTCCATGATCTACAGAGAAAGGTGTGAGTGTTTGAAAAGCAGGCCAAAAATGTGTGTGTGTGTGTGTGTGTGTATGTGTGTGTGTGTGTGTGTGTTTGTGTTTGTATGTGTGTGTATTGCGTGCTTGTCATCTGTTGGCATGTCTTTGTTTGGGCAGATTTAATTCCCAGCCGCATGGCTTCGGCTCATTATTCATCAGGCATAGTGCTCCAAACCTCTCCAGAGGGCTCAGCATGCTGGGAGATTAAACAACGCAAATGAGCACGCACACGCACATGCACACGCGCATACCCACCCCCATACACGAACACACACACACACACAAACACACGCTGAATTCACAAAATTGTGTACACACACACACATACATACACACACACACACACACACAAACACACACACAAGGAAACGCTCAAAACACACATGCATCCACCATATTAGCAAAGCGTTGGCTCACTCTCTCTCACACAAACAGGGAGAGATATGTCAAACTACTTCCATTCTGTCACTGCCAAACAAAAAGCCTATTGAGAGCTTTGTGAGCAGAGTTAAAAAAAAACAGCATTTACAACCTTGTTCAACATCATATGCAGCAACAACAACAACATTTAACGTCCTGTTTTGGGAGCGCAATCAGCCGTCGCCGCTGTTGATGCTGCTGCCTGCCTTTTTCTGGAGCTTTTATCCCCCCTTTTCCCCTCCTCCCTCCCCCCTCCCACCCTTTACAGCCCACATCTCCGGGTCTTTATCTTTCCCCTCCTCCTGATTTCAATCTCTCCCCATCAAACTCAGCCGCACACACACCACCTAATGGAGTGAGTCAGGGTGCTCAGAGTTGGCTAAGCATGCACTCAGAATTAAGAATTAATGCCGTGGCACTACCTCATGCCTCGACAGTCATCTGTGATGCACAGGCATGTGTGTGTTCACATGCATTCCAGCACATGGAAAAGGAAAGACAAAGCATGTATTGATGGATCCCCACCCCCTGTCCGCAAAGTCTGAACACACACACACACACACACACACACGCGCACGCGCACACACACACACGTGATAAAATAGAGTGATCACCGTCGTCACTTACACTGGAAGTAAAGTTCCTCGTCTCCCTCTTGAGAAGCTTTGCTGTAGCCGCATTGTCTACAAAGGGAAACAAAGACCGGCATCAGACAGTGTTTTTATCCCAGCTGAGCAGACACAAACAAATACAAGCATCACACCCTGTTTATCTGGCAACGTAATAGATTGTATAGTGTGTGCAATAACTGTGAGATGAGAGCGAGCGAAGACAGGAGTATTGATAGTGGAAATGGAGGGGATACGGAGAGGAGGCGTTCAGAAAGACCCCTGATGCGATGGCACTGATGAGCAACAGAAAAATCTGAGGCTGAATAAGTAGAAATCCTGCCTGATTTGACTGAGCGAGTCACAGACACACAATGATCGGCCTGAAATGGATATGCTATTGTTGTTTCACCCTGATGGGAGTTTTTCTTTTTTTTTTTTTTTTTTATGAAAAGAGTTGAGCGCACACACACACACACACACACACACACACACACACACACAGGCCAGTGTACTTTCCACACGTATGTGCACACACAGTTATCTCTCATCCCTCTCCACCGCAGGGGGTCTAGAGAGGAGAGAGCTCTCTATGATCTGACTGCTGATGGCTTTTCGGCTTAGAGGAAAACTTGGCACTTTACACTCACACTCGCGCAATCCACAAAAACACACAGGGACACACGCACACGTACTGTAAGTGACAGATTAACAAGTGATGAGCAGACATTCTGGATGACCAGCTGCGTGCTGACTTGGATTAGAAAGATGGAGGAAAAAAGAAGACAAGAGGGATACAACCGAGGAATTGAAGAAAGTCTTGATGGTAAAATCTATACTACATCTGAGATTCTTTTAACAAACAGGTTGCTGATAGAATATATTCTGAATGCGACCTATATATACAGTATATAAGGTCCCCCCCGCTACATTCTGAAGAACTCTTTTCATGTTTTTAGTTAATAAACTGTAGGTTTTTTCACCTGTATGATACATGTGCATTTATATCTGCAGGCATCATATCGACAAATGATCACGGAACATAATTACAGTGGCTGGTTGTCAGGTTTTCAACAAAAATAGACACGGCCAGTCTGGCAAAGAAGCTACAATTGCAGTGTCAAATGACTTGAGGTGCACAATTGTGTACATAAAAAAATCAATGTTGCAGGTATCTATAGACCTGGGCGCGTGTGGTGCATTTGTGTGTCTGAGTGAAATATATCTGCTCGGTGAGCCATGTGTTAATTTGAATGTCAGAACACATCAGCACTTCACACAGAACCCACAAACAGCCGTGAGGGGGTTCACAGAGAGCCTGACGGACATATGTTTCAGGTGTGTGTGTGTGTGTGTGTGTGTTGGAGCTCGTGTTCGCTTCTTTACATGTATGCACGGCTGAATATTTATGCGTGGCATTTGACGCCGCGTGCATGCGTTTACGGGACTATGTTATTTTGCATGTGCACGTCCCTGTGAGTGTTCACGCGAGGAGACGTAACGGAGGGTGCAGGCTGACACATCCCTCAGCCTGTGCAGCAGCAGGGTCTGAGACAAGGTCAGGGCCCTGTCTGTCAAAAGACACCAGCAGACACATGCAGCAACAGCTCCTAAGGGCAGGAGATACCAGACAGGGGAGAGGAGACAAGAATTAATAGATAAGGGAGCACAGCGGATAGGGAGCGAGGGGGAGAGAACGGGAGGGAGATTTGGATGGAGGGCACGACGGTACCAAGAGAAACAAGATGCAATAGACGTGAAGGGGGAAAGGAGAGGTAAGGGAGCAAATGGGGAACATGGCAAGGGGATGAGGGCAAAGCGGGAGATAAATCACTGAGGAGAAAATGTAAAGGAAGTCGGGCAGATGAGGAGGCAGAGGAAGTGACAAGAAAATAAGAGGTTACGAGTAAGAGGATAATTGGGCAGAAGGGTATGCAAGGAAGGAGAAACAGTTGAAGAGGTGCACAGCACAGCCCATAAAGTACACGGCTAGGGGCAGAGGAAGAGGCAAGGATGGTAGGGAGGAGTGCAGGATGAGAACGGATGCTACAGATTAAGGAAGCAAAGGCAGTGATGGAAAACTGCAGCTGAGACATATACCGCAGGATGAGTTAAGGGACTGACAAGAGGCAAATGAGCAAAACACCAAGCAGATGCACGGAAATAACAGATTTAAGGGGACAAGTCGAGTGATATGAAGGAAGCAAGGAGACGAGGGGGCGAGTAAGCCTTGGAGAGAGGAAATAAGGAAGAGGAAGGATAATTGGCAGGGCTGCATGAAGGCAAAGTCCCATGACTTGATACCATTTCCATTACCTCTTGAAATGTCACAGATGTGACAAAAATGAAATAGCAGATGCAAAGTAGTTCTTTTTGGTGAATGGCTTCTGTTCGGGTATGAATTCAACAGTAACAGTCTCCATCACATTTTTAAGTTCATCTGGTATCGTGGCAGAGTGCAGTACTGAGGGTATAAAATGGAATTGGGCCAAACAGCTTGACAAGAATGGAAGAAAAAAAAGAGAGACATGGTTTTTGGCTTATTATCATTCTCTTAGTATGAGAGAAGCTGGAGAAAGGAGAAAAGAAACCACAGAAGGAGGGAAGAGATGGCAGGACCACTGGGGAAATGAAAGAAGAAAGAAACTACGGGGAAAAAAAAAAGAACAAGCAGGGCTGAGGAGGAGGAGGAGGGGAGTGCAGACATGCCAGTGTACCTGGGCATCAGCTGTGTGAAGGGAGGAAGAGGAGAAAGAAGAGGAGGAGGAGGAGGAAGAGTGGAGAAGGAGGTCGAGAGCAGCACCACACTAGCAGGAGTTACATTGGAGGAGCTCGAGCAGACACTGCTGGGAAGAAAACAGGGGGGGGGGGGGGGGGCAAATGAAAACCCTCCCCTTTTTTTTTTTTTTTTTTTTTTTTTAAATTACTTTAAAAAAAAAAGATCAGTCAACACAAAGTTTGATTGATTGATTCCTTTCTCTCAAATCTAATCACTGGAATCATTAGACTATGGTGGACGCGGCCAAAAAAACATGCAAAAAATGATGAAATAGTCATACATGATTTTTACTATGAAAACATATCTGCTTTTTTTCCCCTAAAAAAATTGGTCCCAATTTAATACTTTTGACTATAATTCTGGACCGAAATTTCACACTTCTGAGGAACCAGATGGCAGAAGGGAACGTGTGGATGTCAAAACACTGAAGATCCTGGCCAAATTCTGTCACTGTCAACTGGTTCTTAACAAATGTTGATTTTGGCACAAATTTTCATCTCAGTTTTGTCATTTACAGATTTTTCAAAGCGCATTTCTTTTTTTTCGAAAGCATGGATGTAATGAATATATAAAAAAGTAACACTTTCTCAATATCTATCTTTATGCATAGCAAAGTCTTGGGAAAAAGTTAAAGGATGAAATCAGTCTTATTCTATGTTGTTGTTACTGTCAACAAATCAGAAGTAAAATCCAACAAATGCATCAGTCCTGTGTCTTTACGCTTTCCAACTCTCCTCGCCCGTCTGTGGCTCTCTGCTCCAAGCCCACTCCCTGCGACTGAAGGTGTAAATCTCATACAGGGGGCCAAAATATATGCTTTAGTTTAAAAGCAAAAAGAAACTTAATGATTTCCTGAAACAGCTGGGCACTCAAGTTCTTAGAAAATACTGCGTTTGCTAGGCACTACTTGCTGCTGCGAATGTGGCTCACTTGATGTGTTTTTAGTAGTTTTTGGAAAACAATGGATCTTTATGGCACAGAGGAATAAGTTATGTCACGCTTTGACTGCGTACCTGTATCTGTTAGGATCAATTCATTGTTGGGTTTTGGTCTTTTAATGGGATTTGTTGTCAATAAGAAAAATATAAAATATTAATATATAATATCTATCTTATCCTTTAAACTGACTTAATGGCTAACTGGGCAAACGTTCATTTTTGTATGTTTGTTTATGTACTTATTATCTAATCATAGTTTTTATTTTTAGTTTATTTTAGTTTTTATTCATTGGCTACACACCATCTTAGCATGGAGAACGGCACTGGGACGCAGAAACATCAGAAGACATCCATTGTGGTATTTTGTGATATATTTCCTATGGAACCCATCTTTAAACAGGAACCGTGCAAGGTGAAGTATCCTCTCAATGCACAAAACTTTGTAACTGATTTGTACACTAACTAATTACAGCTCAGTATGTTTGTGGAGAACATTTGGGAAAATTTTTTTTTTTGTAAGAATTAGCATGTTTTCCTTAGATGACATCATAGTAATTGCAGCAACAGTTGTCAGCATGATTTGGGCAGACAAAATTAGCTCTAACCTTACTCTTCTTATGTGCAGCACATTCACACTTTTGCCCCCTCGCTCATGTTTTCAGGAGTGAACTTTTTAATTTTTAAGGGGGTAAGTTTGAAAAAAAAAAAAAAAAAAAAAAAAAAAGGGAAGGGATGTCATGTAAATGAAGCCTATTCACTGCAGACTCTATCCTCTCCATACCTGAATTCTCTTCTAAAATAAAGTGCAGTTATGGAAATAACATGAATAATGGGTGAGAGAGCAGGAAGAGGAGCTGACAGGTAAAGTGAGGCAGAGACGAATTAGGCCAGAAGAGACTTATGTGGGGCGAAATACATGGAAAATTAGGGAATTTTACAAAGCCACTTTCACTTTTATCCATAATAGGTTTTATCCATTAGTGTGACTCTAGTTTATGAGATTAAGAACGGTGATACATTTGTTTTCTTGTACTGCTGAGCGCTGCTTCTTGAAAACAGAGTGATTCCTGCTGACTAAAGAAGCATTTCCCTCCACGGTGCATGTTTTTTTCTTTTAATCTACAGCCTCTCTTGCACAAAGGCAAAATATTATAGTTCTAGGTTTGGGTTAAGAATATTAACAGGTCCATACTTAGAAACAAATTCATGATTTATTCACCTGTAAATGATGAATAATAAATGGCAACATATTTCCCAAACTGATACAGAGCCCTTTGGAATGGCAACTTTCACATTTAATATGGAGGATGTCTGCGTCTGATGGTGGGGGGGCTTTCTGAGACATGGAAGCACTGATCTGTACAAGACACAGGAAACTACACCACTGTGCTGGAGACCTTTTCTCTTGGCCTACCCGTCTCTCCCTCCTCTCATTCTTTTCCCCCCTTCGAATCCCACTTTCTGTCACTGTGTCGCCAAGAGTCAGTGGCCCTATGAAATGACCCTCTGCTTTAATTCCCGCCTCTTCCTTTCTTCTTGATCTCCTCTCCATCTCCTGCTCCAGATAACTTGTAACTCACTCACCGGACATAGACACGCACACACGCATGCACACACTCAATCATCAAGACACACACATGCATGCTGGTGTGGCCGGTGAAGGGTAAACAATCCCACTGCACTGACCAGTCAAGCCTGGGCTTCCTGGAGAATGTCTGGGCAATGCCCTGGAACTCTGGCTCTATCAAACTCTGTCAGGCACCAATGGACTCTGTGTGTGTGTGTGTGTGTGTGTGTGTGTGTGTGTGTGTGTGTGTGTGTGTGTGTGTGTGTGTGTGTTTGTGCATGTGGGCGTGTATGTGTGGACACACGATGGGATACAGTGTCAAGATAAAGTTTAAAAGGGAGGAAAATACAAAGTACTCATTTCTCCTTTTTGTCCCATCAGTCCATTTTTATTCCCTACATTATTCCTACTGAATAATTTTCCAAGTACGTCACTGTAACTTTTAACCTGAAGAGCCAAAATATCAAGCTGTGGCTCACTAGGAAATGCGTTTTAAGATTCTGCACCTCTTGTTTGATGATGTGATGTCTTTTTCTTGAGTGTTCCTGTCACAGAGGCCAAGCTGAGAATAATTACTGAGGTTTTGTCAGCCAGAGTCCTAAGTAATGCCTTCAAATGTCTTGTTTAATCCAACCAACAATCCAAAACCCAAACATATTCGATTTACTATCAAAAAACAGTTTAAGGGGCGTCGTGTGGCGTAGTGGTCTAAGCAGCCCCGGTTCGAGTCCCGCATTGGATGGCCTTTGCTGCATGTCATTCCCCCTCTCTCTGCCTCCCCATTTCCTGTCTCTCTCTACTGCACTATCAATAAAGGCATAAAAAGCCCAAAAAAATATACTAAAAAAAAAAAAAAAAAAACAGTTTAAAAAAAACATTTACTTTGACATCTATGCAGCTGGAATCTCTAGATTTTTTTTTACCAATTTTGCTTAAAAGATCGATTATCACAATTGTTGCTGATTCATTTTCTGTTGTTCGACTGAAGGGTTAATCAGTTCACTCTCAGCATTATAAAGATACTGGAAATTGGACCATGTCGCTTCCTGTTGCTGTGCGGGCAGGTCGACACATGCTTATTCATCTCATCACTAGCTCTGTATGTTTTTAGGACTTTAATAGCGACAGGAACAGAATAGGTTAAAAACAACAACAACAAAAAAAAAAAACCATACCCACATTTTAGAGCTGCTGACACATACTTTACATTAAAAGTGAGAAATGAAGCCAGATTTCCTGATGAAGTGGGCTCGAGGACTGTGCAAAGCATCCCAGCGCGTATCCATAAATGGAAATGCGTGCCATAAGTGCGTGCGACCGCCTGTGTCCGTGCCTTTATGTGTGTGCAGCGGGACTCATTTGCATGTGTCTGTGTGAGCAGGCATATCGATGTAACTGAGACCCTGCAGCCAGTAGCCGAGAGCTGGCTGTCTTTGCAAACATGAGAGCATAGTAATTGAGGCATCAAGCCATTCTCTCTTTGTTTCAATGCAAAACATAAAGAGCAAGTTAATGGTCCAGCAGTGATGAACAATGGAGACCACTTGCAATGAACGCAGTGATGGAAATAAAGGAGGGAAAGATAAGAATAATTATTCACTACCGTGCACGAGGGGATGATGCTGCCGTTTCTCAAAACAAGAATGTATTTAAATACTTATGTGTGTGTATTGAGAGTAAGCACATTTTTTGCATATTCTGTGTTTTGCTGTTGCCTTCACGTGGTCTTTGTTCATCTATTCCCATCTATTCCTTTATAGGCGCTTGACTGACAGCATGCGGCTTGCGTGGTGCTGCTGTGAATGAACAGAACTCATTTCTACACCTGATTGGCTCCATCATTGCGCTGTTAGAGTGTATCTGGAATTGGTCTGGTGGTCTCTCTATCACAATCCCCTCTTTAGGTACGCCTACCTGTGGGAAAGGAATGTTTTACTTTATCTGGCTGAGAGGTGGCACTGATGTGTGTCTGTGTGTGTGTGTGTGTGTGTGTGTGTGTGTGTGTGTGTGTGTGTGTGTATAGAGGAAAGCAAGAGAGAATGCACGCAATCTATGCAGACAAATGCTTCCACAGTGAATCCGAAAGTCTCCCTGGATAGACATCAGTTGAATGCCAGCCAAATGGAATTGTTAAAAAAAAAAAAACAATTGTGTTTCTAGCCATGTGTGCATGAGTGTTAATTGTGTGGGAGTAGATATGTGCTTCTTCTTCATTTGCCTGCATGTGTGATGTGCCGTATGGTATGAGTTATGTGTGTGTGTGTGTGTGTGTGTGTGTGTGTGTGTGTGTGTGTGTGTTTCTGAGTGGGCGTGTGTGAGGCGAGCTGGCAGAATATAGAACTGGACAGGAGTCAAAGAGCAAAGTGGTTGGAACGGCGAGCAGAAGTGCACTACCCCTCCCATTTATCAGCTCAGCTGAATAAAACATCTGAGTAGGTATATGGCAAGTTACGGACAGAGCAACAAACAAGACAATAAAACACACATTAAAACGCCTTTAAGCAGAAATACAGAGTGTACTGAGCAGTTGTTCACTTGATTGTTCGACTTTGTAGGACTTTAGTAGTTTAGTAATATCATAAACTTCAAACTCATTTATGTGAAAACTGACAAAAGTGAAAATAGTCTATACTGTAGAAGAGGTTCAAGTCTGGCAGGTGTTGCCATTCTGCACTGATTTTGAATAATATTGTCTTAAGTTGTATTGGACCACTGCCTGCACTGATTTCTAATTTTGAAGTGGTCAAATATGGGTAATGCTAATGCCACCGTGTGGCTATTCAGCTGCAATTCTGTTGACTGACTACTGTACTACTGTAGCATTAATTCTGTAATTGCTGGAAAACATGCAGCAATGTCCACTAATCGCTTGAGAATGTAAAAACCAATTTAATGGTTCAGGGAAGTGTGCTACAACTGTTTTGAAAATCAACCTATCATAGCTGATACAGGCTTGCGTCAATTAATTTTAAGAATTAAGGGCCACAGCTAAATTCACACACATTAATTTTCAAATGAACCCAAACTGACCCAGTATTTTGGCCAAGGTGTGTACCTGACTTATTTGAGATAGAGAAACAAAGCTTCTTACACTGACTGCTGGACAGGGATGGGTATTGTTAAGATTTTACAGGTACTACTACTCATACCGATACTGCTTATTGATCCGGTACTTTAACGGTACTCTTATCGCTACTTTTTGAGGAAGAAAAAAAACTTGAACAAACAAAACATTTGTCACACTTGTGACAACGGGCTGTGTTTGCATCCACTCTAGTAAAGTAGAGCCACACTTTGGACCGTTTGGTTCTCTCCGCCATCGTTATCTATAAAGGTAGGCCGCGAGCTTGAGTTGGTGTCTGCGCTGCACTGTCTGTGTGTGTGTGTGTGCGTGTGTGTGTGTGTGTGTGTCTCACTGGAACAACAGCCCCGCCCCCTGCCCTCCGCTCACACAAACAGCAGGCAGACAGAGACAGAGAGACAGATCTGTCGTCTTCTGTGAGAATAGTGAAAATCTATCATACATAGACGGATATTTGGTGAAATAAATGTGCAAGATAACGTTTATCCAGCCCCAGTACCTATAGCAGAACCATTAAGCTCGGAGCTTTTTGATACTGTGGTCTTGAATAATGTAGCCCTGGGGCCCGTTCAATACCGGGGCTCGGTACCCATCCCAACTGCTGGAGTCTGATTGCTCTGTTCCTACCGACACAAAATTCTCTAGATTGAAAGAATTTTTTTTATATGAGGACTGAGCAGTGGGTAAACACACAGACACAAAGACACGGCACCGGTGCAGAAAGTCAGTGTGGTCACCTGTGAATCTATCAATTTGCCACCAGCTATCTTTACTCATCTTTAGATCTTTACTGGAAAATCTGGTGAAAAAATGTTTCCCTGTTCACTCTGGCAAAGAACTATGAGCTCCCCTCCAAAACAAAAAAAAGAGGTTTTGACCCTGCCAACGTTTTCCTCTGAGTGCAGACAGCACCATTATCAAGCCGACTTCTTTATGTTGCATATGAAACTGTGTTGGGGGTGAAAGGTGATCCTGTAATTTCAACCATTCGCTCGCCGTCACTGCACTTTCCTTTAAAAGAGGAACTCCTCCTATCACTGGATTACTGTAATCTGGATTATAATGGAGCAGCGAGTATTTGTGCACATGAGCATGACAGCGTGTGTTTGTGCAGCATGCTAAAGGTATTAAAATCTGGGAATGACAGAATGAGCCACAGGAAGCAGTGAATTAATCATTTGCATGTGCATTTCCATCTGTGTGTTCATATCTACCTCCTCCAGATGAGCAGTCCGACTCCCATGGAGAGCAGCATGATGAGGGCGGCAACGGACACGACGACAATGATCACCACTGGGTTCTGTTCACTGGACGCCAGTGCCACTGGAAATGACAAGACACGGTAGTTACACCGAGTGCACTCGGCAAAAAAAAAATCACAGCGGTATTTATCCACTGTACAGGCTCATCGTCACACGCTTTAACACACCGGCATGCAGTGCACATATATTCAATTACGGTATTTGAAGTGTGAACAAGAACAGGAGATGAGAGCAAATAACAAGGCGATGACCTTAAAGGACAAATTAATTTGGTAAGAGTGGAGGGTAAACTGACATTTTCCTGTTTCAGAAATTCACAACCTTCCCATCATTGATATTCTCACTTCACCCACCAACATTACACTGTACCAAACATTTACAAACCGTATGCTTCACTTAAAATGACTCAAAGGAACACAAATAATATGACACCTTGTGTCGCCATTACACACAATATATTTTTGTTCTTCTTGTTGTTGTGGTGAAACTGATTGTAGCAGTGAATCAGAATTACAGTCATTGATGAAACAATCTCATCTAAAGGTCCATTTAGTAGTTGTTGGAGAGCTTTCAGTCGCATTACATTACCTTCCTTCTCAGATGCCAGTTTGCTAGTTGAGGCTTGTAATCATCTGCACTTTTATCAGAAGCAGTGATTGTTCTGTCAACTGCTGTTTCCAAGGTTACCTTAACAGAAGTTGATAATATCCTGAGACGCAGCAGACAATGCACTAGCCAGTAATCATCTTGACACGTATGAACAGTAATCTTCAGCATCACAATGGAAACACTCACCAAAGAGTATATATTAAAATGTGAACGTGAGCTCGTAAAGTTTTTCCCCTCTTTATAGCAGCTGTGCACCTGCCAACTATTTGCTTACAATCAACCTACAAATACTTAAACTCGCTTAAAGCTGGGGAAGGCGGTTACTTTTTTGCATTAATGGGCAAAAATTCTATAACCACCTTGCAGCATATTGTAGTTCAAGATGTCTGAGAACAAAGACTGTTTTCCGTTTTCAGGGTTTAGAAAAATCTGGCTCATGACCCATGACCCAGTTGAATTTCGCTAATAGTTTAGCCTTCTGCGAACTGCAGCCAAAGGCTTACGGCTGTGTGTATTTTCAAATTCTGGCATCTTTATTCATTTATTTTTTTTACCTACCCCAGCTTTGATGTATTATTCAATTGACAATTGGTGAATGCCATGATCAGGTGATTAGGGTTGATGATGATGTATTTTTAATATTTTTTAAAAATGTCATGTCCTGCATTTTTTACACGACCACTAGAGGTAGCTGTGGTGATGCCTTGTAAGAGTATCAGGTCATCTTTTATTTGACACTTGGTCTAGCCTGAGGCAAATGTAGAGAACTGAATATGTATCATCCAAAAAGTTACTGTTCAACTAAGACCTCTCACCAAAGAAGCATGCAACCCCCTCTGCTTAAAAAGAAATAAATGATCTAGGAGCTGGTCTTGGGCCAACTTTAGAAGATAGTGGTTGTGCAGGGCAGCTCTCACGCGAGTTAATCTGTGTAAATGGTGTGAAGGTGCTCAGTACTATAAGATTATGAATGCTCAACAAATCCCTTTTCCGTGTTTATAAAAAGTTCAAACCAAAGAATTCATGACAAGTACAAGGCATGAAACGCACACAGACACAAAGACACAAAGACACACACAAACGAGTCCCAACCAGACCCTGAGGTGGCCCGAGGGACACAGTATCAACTTGCACAAAGAAGAACGGTTTCACAGTTTACTGGTAAAATCTCAAATCTTCACACATAATCTCAGACACAGTCAAATCCCCTTCACTGTCTCTCCCTATCTCCCTCACACTAGCAACACGCCTCATTGTGTGGGCTGGCCAGGTGCCTACACAAACCCCCTATCCCAATCTGCCTGGCGGTGCTGAGAGGAGGGGGTGAGGAGAAAGGAGGGAAAGTGAGGAGAAGAAGAGGAGGAGGCGTAAAACGGCTACTTACACTCGCCAAGTGTCTGCAGCTCCAGGGGAGCGCTGTACGCTCCGTAGTCGATGGGCGGCGGCGAGGAGGAGGAGGAGGACGATGACGAAGAGGAGGATGATGAAGAAGAGGAAGATGAGGTGGAGGAAGTGGAAGAGGAGGCAGAGGATGAGGAAGAGGAGGATGAGAGCGGGGAGGAGGACAGGGATGAGGAGGAGGCTGGCGTGGAGAACGGGCGGATGAGGAAGACATATGTGGTGCCAGGTTTGAGGTTGTTGACACTGATCCGCGTGGCGGCGGTCTTCACAGTGGAATAACTCTGATCCTTTTGTTCCTGCGGAGACAGAAAGTGAAGTGAGAGACAGAGAAAACAAAGACAGGGAGAACACAGGAGGAGGAGTGAGACGAGTAGGTGGAATCCATTTGCGAGACTCCTTGTTCCTTTTCCAGACACAGTTTGTAATGCTGGGGGACGTGTGAGACTAATTCTTTTTTAACCAAATCAAGGGCTTTAGGTGATGTTTCATTTATTGAGAGAGAGGAATAGTATGGAACAGTATTTCAAAGAATCAGACAAAGTTTCAAAGAGTCCAGGCCAAGTTTAGGAGTCAGGCTTCTTTCACCTGCTTTCAATAAATTACTATCTCTCTGTGCTTTGGAAATCAATAATGAAAAATCCAGACAGTAATAAAAGAATGACTCTATTCATTAGAGAGGTCTTTAGAAAATAAATCACATCTGTTTCTCCCCCTTGGGGGAATGAGATACACCTTGCACAAGTGGGCATGGTGGGGGCAGAGAGTAAGTGACACACACTTTACCATAATTACTTCTCTTGTTGTCTGTTTGTTTTTGCCTGTTCGCTGCATTCAATTTCCCATCTCTGCCTTTTTTTTCAACAAATACTCTTTTATTGGATCTTAGAATGTCTTTCCTCTGCATTTCAACAAGACCACACCAATTAAAGCTGAGCTTGTATCACAGCTTTTATGATAAACTTGATTTCCATGCAACGGTAGCAAAGATATAATCGTGGCAAAGTGAGTTGAGTATGTTTCTGAGTGTGTCCATTTTTGCACAACGCTACTTTGCATGTGGTTGTGAGGATTTGGAGCTGCATGTGTTTTATGTGCGATCTTTATTGCTTTTTAGCCACACACCAGTGAAATATTGCCATGAAATTTTTGGTACGGAAGCCCATGAAGTCCAGAGGGTGAATCCTAATGATTGTGGTGATCATTAGGTTGACATCGGTGGTTATAGTTTATAGACTCAGGATAAATTAGCATTGCAATTAGTTATCGGACATTTAGACAGAAAACGGTGAGAATGTCAAAGTGAAATTCTCACCAATTGTCTATGTGAGCCAGCGGTTTCTTGGCAGCAAGCAGCAGCAGGCCCGTTGGCAGCGCGTCTTGGGCAGTGTGGGCATCAGAAAAAGTTCAGGCAACTTTATGGTAATGAGTTTTATACAACAGTCAGTTCCGACCAAGTAATTTGACTGGACAAGAGGCATTAAATGAGTGCTGATATATAGTATAACAGCACTGGGACTGGGACAGCACTAAATACATGTATCACTCTGCTTTACAGGTGTTCTATTAACCAGTAATCAGCGTTACATTAATGGCTGTTATCTATCTTAGATTGTAACAAACGTTGCAAAGATGAATATATTTCCAGAAATAACGATTTAATTAAATGATGCCTGGTCGTCAGAAGAGGATGAAAGGAAGAAACCTGGATACCTCAGCGCACACCTGAGGTAGACAAAGTAGCAAGCTGGTGTGCACTGTGCAGGTCAGGAAAATGTTTGTGTTGCTTAGCAACAGTCCAGTACCAGTCCAGTTGCAGAACTATTTGTGTTGTCGTCGCCACATAAAAGATAAAAATAGACAAACAAATCATAACCTGTTGTTGCTTATTTAACTAATATGGCGCTTTTAAAACCGTTAGAACGGCTGTGATTGTGATTGACTGAATCACAGCCGTGTTGATGTTCAGTACATCATCACTCCGTCTCATGCGATATTGCTTAAATGATGTGGTTGGGCGGCAACCAATCGGATTGTAGAAGTGCTCCGCTGTAGAGAACACTAGAGAACCATGTAAGCTTTTGTTCCCATCATCCCTTTACTTCAGTTTTTATGCTTCTTTTATTTCTGTTAAGCACATTGAATGACCTCTGTGTATGATAATGTGCCATACAAATAAATTTGCCTTGCCTTGCTTGTTCTCAAGCTCAATGGAAGAGAACTTGATAATTGTGGTGGTGGGGTTCCCTTGTTCTTTCCAACATGTCTCTGTTTGCGAACTAGCTTCACAGGCCCTTTAAATACAGTTTGCAAGACCAAGCACTCTCAAAAAACTTGCTGAATCTACAGTATGTCATCAACTTTAGAGCACCCTCACACTTCAACAGCGTCTGTGGCAGGACAGTCAGAGCGCTTTTGGCCTGAATGTACAGTTAGCATGTCAGCATGCTGATGTTAGCATTTATTTAAAAAAAACTACAGCGTGTAAATACAGCCTCATAGAGATGCTAACATGGCTCTAGACCCTTCTTTTATCCATGTATAAAAGGGGTCCAAGAGTCCAGACTCTGACTTTTGGACCCTATTGTATGTACAAGAGTTGTATTGCTTGAGAACAGGATAAGGCAAGTAGAAAGGCAGAGAGGCGGCTGCTCCCATGTGAACTAATATGTTGCAAATGGGAAATATGAACAGAGGAGGATGGAGAGGAAACATGGAGGGTGGTGGGAGTAAAACAACAGCAGCATCACTCAGAGATGACATGCTCTAACGTCAAGTTATGAATAAACTGTGAATTAATCATTATTAGTCATTGCCATTATTAGTCAGTATTATCATCAACAGTGTGTTGTTTGTTATGGTCCAGATTAAAACACTTTTAAATGCCTCATATGTTCAAGGGTTATGAATAATTTTAAAAATATCAGTCAGTCCTACGTATGTAGGCCCAGACTGTAAAGCTGCATCTTGATTAAAAAAAAAAAGGGAAGAAAAAGACTGTACACTGAATAAGCAAAGCTGAATAAGCAAAGGCTCTTTGACAGAGTGTGGTTATACTGCCTTTTCATTTCATGGCCTTTCAACAACTTGCTCATCTCAGTCTCAGTTATTATCCATCTATCCTTTACACTCTCTCCATTCCCCTACTTCCCTCCTGCGTTTCTTCTGCACCTTGTTTCACGAAGCAACTTCATTCATTTCTTTCTATCACTGTGCTCTTGCAAGCGTCTTATCACCAAGACATCTCCCCCTCATCTGTCCCTAATACCCTCTCTAACCTTTTCCCTCCCTCAGCTATCAGACCGGCATCTCATTCTTTCAAAATGCGCTACACCTCCTGTTATCTTTTCTCTTCTCTCAGGTCTTTCCTCACCCACCCCACCTCTAAATCTTTCTTTTTTTTCTTTTTTTTTCTTCTAAAGATGTGGGAGTAGAGCAGTAAGGATCAGGGCTTTGTAAAATACGGTGTAGCATAGAGAAGAGAGGGAAGTGTGATATGGGTGAGAAAGTGACACAGCGAAATACAAAGACCTGGCGTTGGCAGAAATTGCGGTGTTTGAAAATGGAGAAGCGTGAGTGTGACAGCTGTGGTTTACGTGCATGACAGATTTGCTGTGAAGACTATGACTGTTGACGGGACGGCCACGATCTGACTAAGTGCTATGTTAAATAAGCGTGATAAGGCTGATGAAATTACAATGGTTATCCATAAAAGCAGAAGAGAATGTAGCAGTAATATGGATTCAGGTTTACACACCACAGGCCTTGAAATGGACTAAAAAAAATAGATGATGGATTTGAACAATATCTCAATAGTTAGCAATTCAAGACGATGATTTAATCTCATGTAAAAACACAAGCATTAGAATGGGATGTTACTAATATAGATACTTCAGAGTTAAAAAAAAAAATCAATTAGTTGGCTGTTTATCTTTAATATAAACATAAACACACACATGAAGTCAACATTACTTGTCATGTGAAGAAAGACTCAGCCTGTGAAAGCAGTTGTGTAATATCTTCCGAGCCTGCATCAAAGCAGGAGGAGGCATGGAGGGTCTAATGAAAGACGCAAGTGAGCTTTATTCTTGGAATTGTTAATTGTTAATTAATGTGCAGTAAACAGTCTGAGGCTTTCAGCTTGCCATCCTTTATAATTAATGTTCCTAGGTGGAAGTATGTTTAAGAGAGTAAACGGGATGCTAGAGGCAAACGTTTTTCTATCTTAAGCTGGTATTAAAAGTCTAATGAAATAGTGGCAGTTCCAATGAGTTTCATCAATATTTTCAGGAACAAGAATTTATTGTGAATGTGATTCTGTCATCATTTCTGTATTGTGTGTACGTGTGTGGCAAACGACATACACACTATAGATAAAAAAAAGAGAATATACCATCAGGAAGCAACGCTTTTGGGAGGCATTTCTTAGTCTTAAGAAGGGTTAAGAAGGATTTGGAAGATGAGTCCTTGAACATTTTATACTTGAAGAAAAAACTCTCTGGGAGAAACTATCTAACAGTGATGCAGTTTTCCAGTATCTTTGGCATTTGCATTACTTCAAATTATTTTTTGTGTGCCAGTACCAATATACTGTATCTGTGTTCCAGCATTGGCCAATCATATCAGTCAAGGCAATCTATCATTGGGTTAGACACATTTAAAAATAAAACATAATTTATATCAAGAACAACGATAAATTAACAGTGTTTCATTTGAAATGTTGATATCCAAGATGTATTTGTTGTTTTAAGAACCAAAACCATCTCAATGTAGTTTTACATCTCCTCTTTCAGGCTTCTGTCTGGAGCTCTAGTAACAACAGCTCGGTGAGCCAATCAGAAGAGAGGAGGCTCTGAGCCTCTTTTCTGATTGGCTGACTGCTTTCTGATTGATCAAATAAAAATATAATGGATTTCAGGTTTGTTGTGAAGTCACAAAGTTCCAGAAGTCCTGACGGCTCGTTTCAGAATACAGGCTGTGTGCATTTCTCTGTGGACTGAGCACATTGATACTTTCACAGTATTATCATAGAATCTGGACCTGCCTTATAATAAGAAATAAGAAATACATGGATATCTACCTTTATACAATATGGGACCTTTAAAGTTTACCGCTGTTTACTAGTTATGGAAAACAGTAAGTGGAGATAAGTGTGTTATTGTATATAGTTTTAGGTCTTGACTAGTGATGACAGTGCAGACAGATGAAGATGTAACATTGGATTTACCTTCTCATAATATTTGACCTCATATTCAGTACGGCTGCTGTTTGGGTAGGCAGGCTCCCTCCACACCAGAGTTATACTCTTCTGCTCGATCTTCTCCGCTCGCAGCTCACTGATCAGAGATGGTGCTACAGAGAAAGAGAAGAAGAAGAAGAAAGAGAGAGGAAGAACAGGGATGAGTTCCGGGACTCCAGTCTCATTCATTATAAATAAAATAGCTTCAGGAGTTTTCTCAGGCACATCAGAAACAGTCTCAACTCTCCTGGATTTCCAGTTTTTACACTAAATTCGACTGCGCAGGCAAAGGTCAGGGGAGGAGTACTGTACAGTGAATTCACTTGTGAGGTGGATCAGAAAAGAGGCAATGATATATTCATATATATTTATACAGTATACCCCAAACTCAGATGTGATGTGAGCGATCAAAAGAAATGTGGAAAGATGGATATTAGGAGAGGAGAGGAACAAAAAGAGAGAGAGAGAGAGAGAGAGAGAGAGAGAGAGAGAGAGAGAGGACAAAAGCAGGTAGGACAGTGGCAATGGATTAATTATTGAAGTTAAGACATGTCAGAGAAAACAGCTTCATCGTACTCAGATTCCCCATGAATGGACAAACTGTGGATGTTTCTTTGAGTGTGTTGCATTGAACGCAGCCTGGGTCTGACACTGACACACCGGGACTGACGTTAGATCAATACAGATATGGATTGACTGACAAGTCTGTATCGACACCAGACTAACGGATGGAGATGTTCGTAATCTGAGTCTCTCAATTAAACTCTCTTCTGAACTTTTTCTGACTCAATCCAGGGGAGCTGCGGTGAAATTCATCCTTACAGATATTTCATCTCTTATCGATCACAACAGAATACAAAACAGAAGATGAATTATCAGTGCAAAGCTTTCCAAGTCTCAGAGGCAGTGTAATGGCAGTCGCTCGCAGAAAACAATTTCATTACCGAGGAGAGACCGGTTCTTTGTTTCTCTGTCAACAAATGACAGGCGACGCGTATGATAATCAGCGAGCACCACCCACTCTTGCTTAAGTGCTAATTATTCCATGGTTAACGAAGTAGCAAAAATGGGTTGTCACTCAAGAATACGAAGAAAAATAAAGGGGTGCAGTTAGGCCTTTCTGTTTGGGAGGAGCGGCGCCATTAAGGCCATTAGGGTTAGGTTTAGTGGCATGTGAGTGTAAGGGGTGTTTGCCGTCATCTTCTTTTGACTTGATAATTATTGCTGTTACTTCAATACCCTCCTCTCACGCAGACATGATCCTCTGAAGTCCCCTTTCCTTCTGCTTCTTTCTGTCCCTATTTTACTCCTATTTCTCATGTTTTTATTCCACCCTCTCTCATCCTCCCTTCATTCACCTTATCAGCTGACCACTCTTCCTTGCTCTCCTCACTTCCTGCTCTCCTCCCTCCTGACCCATAACCATCAATTCATTCTTTTTCCTGTATGAAAACAGCGACACTAATGAATATGTTCTGCCTGTCACACTCAAGTAAAACTATGTGAACACATAAAAATACTCCACACACATGAAGAGAGAGAGAGAGAGAGAGAGAGAGAGAGAGAGAGAGAGAAAGCATCAGTGCAGTTCCTTCAGTCCTCCTCTCAACCTCTCAAATGACAGGATAATACAGTCATTTTAGGCAGCAGATCAAAGACAGCCTCGACACACACTGTCTGTATCTCTCTCTCACTGCCCATCTCCATCTGTCTGTTTTTTGATGTCTGAAAACACAGGTATTATCCATTATTCATGGTGACTTCTATGACTTTTTACATCATAGAGGAAAGATGGGTATGTAGCCGTGTGTGTGTGTGATTATTTCACAAATTCTGCACAGTAGGAATGTAAAATAATAACGTGAAATCTAACATTTTTATATTTAAAAATGTATTTTAATAATTCAGTTAGAGCACCTCTGCAGGTAGTTGTCATTGTATTATTCTAATTCGAGCTCATTTTTTAGGGCAGATATCAATTGTCGGTTACAAAGAGACAGATAACTGATATTTGATATTTCGTAGTTGGTGTTAGTTAGTGCTTCAGACAGGGTAGTGTCTCATCTCCAGTAGCAGGACTTTCTCATGCTAGTAGTGTTTATTGCTGCTCTATTTTATCACAGGTATGCTTCCTTTTTTTCATCAGTGACTAACTACCTGTTGTACATTTAAACTTACACTAGTTCTGCTCCAGCACTAAGAGCTCTCTGCTCCTTCTACTGACTTTCACCAATTCAGCAGTTGTTCACATGCTGTTCAGATCAGCTTGTTACTTTAGCTTAGCAGTTAGCGCTAGCGCCTCTCTCGCTCTCTCTCCCGGTGTGTCTTGAAACAACAGATGTACTTGTTCATCAGAGTGTGATGTTGTTGCAACTTCAGTGTAGAGGATTGTGATGTATATTACAACTTCTGCTGTCTTACCTTCGACACACAACTCCGCTCCTTAACCAGAGCCGCTTGCTGACAGGAGCAGCTTTAGTACGTGTCCGTCTGTGTACACAGCAGCCTTCAGTGTGATAGGCTTTTACTCGTGATGTGTAACCAATCAAATCGTACTGTGGGCGGGACATTGATTCTGACCACAGAGTGCTGGCTGCAGGCCAGAGACAGGTGGCTGCATCAGAGCCAAAGCATTTTGATCCCTATTAGGCACACCATCTTATCAAAATTACTCAAAAAAAAAACCCCCAGAATAGTTTCATAATTTTTTTGTGCTTATGTTTTGCGTTTATCTGAACTTTTACAAGATGTATGAATTTTTTTCATAACAATTTTACAGTCTGTTCGCATTGGAAAAGTAGATATAAAATAGCTGAAATTGTGGGAAATATATATTTGACAAACAGCAAAAAAAGAAAACTAATTAATTAAAGAATCAAAAAAACAAATGAAATAGTGACCAAATACAATCTCAAGAGATGTGATGTGTCACTGTAACCTTTGGTTGACTTTAAAGCATGAATTCTGTGTCTATTGAATGTGAAACACTAAAAAAACAACAACATATGAACAGTCAAAGTGTTCAGAAAACTTTAATCATGCCAGGTGGCACTGAAAGATCTCGAACACGTTACTTTGAGGTATCAAGTCATTCTAAGGAATATTGCCACTTCATGTGAATGCAACCTAATGTACAGATGCACGCACAGTAGGGGAGAGTAGCTGTAAAAAAGAAAGGCACTGAAGGAAGGAAAGATGCTAATGAACAGTATACAGGAATGTAAACAAACAAGCAGGGAGATTATTCTTAATGATTAATGAATCTGTTCAGACATTTGTATGTATATATATATATATATATGTGGAAGAAATAGACTGCAGTCTGGCTCATTATAAAATAAAAATAAAGGAATTACTCCCACAGCACATGAAAAGCAAGAAAAAAGAACATGTAAAGTAAACAGCTGAAACTGGCAGGTGGTTATACACAAACATGACAGAAACTGAGAAAAAGAAAAGAGAAAGGAAAAAGAGTGAGACGAAAGTTAAGAGTGAGTGGAAGTTCGAACAGACACACCCTTCCTTCTCAAAGCCCCCTGCCACCTTAACACAAAAAGAACCTCAGTCGAACACACGAAACCCAGAACGCAGTGTCAACCTGCTCTCACCCATCTACAACTGCAGGCTATTGTTTGCTATTCTTTCCTTCCTTGTGTGCTGAATTATGCATAATACTGGTGCCTGCCTCCAAACTCCAGATCACATCACAGCTCTAGCTGACACACAAGAGCAGGTGTGCGCAGTTTCTCTTCCAATACACACACAGCTCTGATACAAAAGTAATACAGTGGTCAAACTGGTGTTTCCACCTCTGCAGCTGCGAAAAAGTAGGTGCTAACTGATGGTAAACTAAACCATTTAGATACTGGTAGTGAAGAATGCAGCTGCTTTCCTTTGTAGCTTTTAAAACATATTTTGTTGGAAAATATTCATCAGAATTTGGATTTGCTGAAGTGTCCTTCTATTTTGTTATATAACATTTCATATAGAAAATGTCTTGTAGGAACAGGAAGTCACAAGGAAAGATGAGAAAGGTTTGATATCTTGGGTTCCATCAGCTTCACAACTTAATTTTTCATCAATTTTCTTTCTGGTATTGTACTTTTCACTCACAGAATTTGCTTTCACAACATGATAAATTTGAAAATAATTTATGAATCTATGAAGAATTTGGACACAACTATGGAGCAATGGTTGCTAAGTGAATATAATAGTTTCCAAGACACATGTGAAGCTGTTCACGTAAGCAGGCATTAGTGCAGATACTGTACGCCCACCACCTGGACACACAAACACAAGAGTGCATGGCAGCAAATGGAGGGTAGTGTTGTGTTTGGCTCTGTATTTGAGAGGAAGAAATCAATGCAGACAGCCATCTGAAATGGCTTTTGCACTCACACATGTACACGTACACACACACACACACACACACACACACACACACACACACACACACACAATTGCACAATGATTTTCAGTAATATCGAGGAGGTGATGGCCTTGTGGGCAATAAGCCTCTCCAGCTCTGCGGTGGAAGTACACAGCAGATGTTTTCAAAGCCTCATCATACAGCAGAAATCACATGGCAGACGAGCTGATAGGCTCTGGTCACAAAGACATACATCTCCTGATAAGATCCAGTATAAAAGTTCTTGCGGCACACATACGAATCACTGGTACAGATAATGCTCTATAAAACTTCAAAGGGACACTGTGATGAGAGCGAAAAGTGAGGCATGAGGAAATGTAATAGATAGAGTTTGGCACAAAATGGCAAAAAAGGCAGCACACAACTGTTCCTCTGAGTGATTAAACTTCCATAGGCTGTGAGCACAAGATCGGGCTGGGTATCATTTAGGTTTTACGTATTCTGATCTTTCCTCTACTTATCAGTTCCACTTTTCGTTGAATCCGAGCTATTGGTACTTTTCTACACCCCTGAGGCATTTGCCACAAAAAAGAAAAAAAAAAAAAAAAAAAAAAAAAAAAAAAAAAAAAAAATCAAAAAGAAATCAAAATATGTAGCAAAAACTACTTTCATTTTTAGCAAATTTAAGCTGCCCTAAGTTGTCAGAAGATTCTTTTTGGTTGAATGATAAAAAAGCATGAATAT